ATGATGTTGTCGAGAATACACACAGCAAAACACAACAGCTCAATGGTTTCTATATATACAATTTAGTGACATTGGATTACATTCTTTGAGTTGTGCAGCCATTCTCACTCTCCTTTTCTGAGTTCTTCTCTCATTAACATCAATTCACTGCTCCTTAATGTTCCTATCTAATCTTTCAAGTTGCTATTTTTAATTTGATCCCACATAGTTCTTTCTTTTTTTTAATTGTGACTTGGGTGAAAGTTTGCAGAGCAAATTCACTTTCCATACAGCAGTTCACATATACTTTGTCTCATGTCATTGACTGCAATTTCCCACAATGCAACAGCTCTGCTCCCACTTCCTCCCCATAGTTACCTCTTCCCTGTGTCCATCCCTCCATGCACTCCTGCCCCTGCCCTGTCTCTGCATACACAGCCCTCTTATTCACCTATTATTGATCTCTCCAAGGAGAGTATCTTCCTAAATAAATATTCAGCTCATATGCCTGTCTTTTGTTTGGCTGGAAGCCACAGGAGTGAGTTCAGTTCCAGGGCAACTGGGGGCCATAGTCTCAGAGATTCCACCAGGCTGTATCAGACCAACAAACCTGGTCCTTTTTTTTTTTTTTTTAAATGATTTTGAGTTTTGTTTCACACTGCTCTCCCACTGTATCCAGGCTCTCCTACATAGATCCCCCTCCTAGTGGTTGACAGTGGTAGCCGGGCACCATCTAGTTCTTCTGGTTTCATAGTTGTATAGGCTGAGGATTGCATGGTGTACCAGTCCCTTGGACTAATTGTTCCCATATGTCTTTGGTTTTCTTCATTCTTCTTTGCTCTGGATGAGGAGAGACCCATTGTTGCATCTAGATGGTTGCTTGCAAGGTTTTAAGATCCCAGTCACTATACTCCAAAGTAGGATTTGGAACAATGTTTTTGTGTAGTATGTTATGCCAATTGAGCTTGATGTCCCCTGCGACCATGGTCTTGTGCCCACAGGTCCAACTACTCGCTCCCACTAGGTAGCTGGCTGTGGCCAAGAAGTGTCTACAACCTTGTCCCTGGTCAGCTCTTCTATATACCTGGGAATTCTTACAGAACATACAGATCACTTGTAGAAACATTGTCTGCCAACCCTATACATGGTTTTGGGCACACATCTGTCCCCCTTGCATAGACATACCTAATGGTTCAGCCTGTCCTCCCATCTATTCACCCATAGATCAATGTTTGCTTTCACGGACAACATAGTACTGTATGTACAAAAGGGTTCATCTTTGTTGTCTGTACCTTCAATGCACCTCTCTCTGTCTTCCTCGGTGCTACTGTCTCTGTCTTCCTCTTCCTCAGTGCCACTGTGTTGGTCACTCATGTTTCGTACATTATCCTTCTCTTCACCCAGATCAATACTTGTCTCTACCTATCTAGCAGTGTTCCCTCCCCTCCTCTCCCACCCCTGATAACCAACAAAGAAAATTTCCTTCCATATATGAACCTTTCCTTGACTTTTTACAATAAGACTAATACAATATCTGTCCTTCTATGATAGACTTATTTCACTCAACATAATGTCCTCCAAGTTCATCCATGTTATGCGCTGTATGTTCTTCCATTTATGTAGATCTCTTATAGTTTCCTGAAGTAGTGTTTTGTAGTTTTCTTTGTATAGGTCTTTTGTGTCCTTGGTAAGATTTATTCCTAAGTATCTTATCTTTTTGGCAGCTATTGTAAATGATATTGATTTCCTTATTTCCATTTCAGAGACCTCTTTGTTAGTGTAGAGGAATCCAACTGATTTTTGTATGCTGATCTTGTATCCTGCCACTATGCTAAATCTCTCAATTAGTTCCAGTAGTTTGTCAACCTGAACAGACATCTCTAATGGTATGCTAGTTGTTCTGTCCTAAGCTATATCATTAAATTTGGATGGAGATGAAAGCAAATTAACATACTTTCAGATGAACTAAAGCAATGATGGAAAATTTATTTCCTGGAGAGTATAACTAAGATTCAGAACATCTAGTCAAGACAGAAGAAATAAAAAACATAATTAAACTTAAAAAGGAATAAACTTTACTATATTTCTTTAAAAGTAAATTATATTTATACCAAATGTTAGACCTCATTTGATGATTTTAGCAAAAGATTAGAAACTTGGCGATACTTAGAGTTGTCTCTACCCAGAAAAGGCAATTTAAATTTACATTGACACTAGTTTCTGGAATGATTGTCTTCCTGTACTGAGTTGGTCAGATTATACTTGGAATTTACTAGTAATGTGACCTTGGGTAAGTTAGCCTCTCTGTGCCTCAGTTTTTTTCTTTGGTAAAATAGCAGTAGCTTACTGAAAGATGGCAATGAGGTTTAAATGACAGTTTTCAGAACAATGCCTGTCACATGTAAATGTTCAGTAAATATTTTATGATTTAAAATGACAACTTCTGAGAATGTCAGAAGACCAGTGATCATAAAGGTAACCAGGGCAGAGGTTTTGGAAACCACCATGTGTTTTGCATGAAAAAGCATATAGGTTTGGGGAAGAAAGGAGAGCATTTTCAAGAATTTGAAAGACTGTTACATATGAGGACTAGATTTAATTTTGAGGTGTTATGTGGGGCAGAGCTTCACCAAATAGACAAGCTACAGAGAGCTAGCTTTTTTGGTTCAACAATTGACGCTGCCAGCAATTGGGGGATGAGCCATTTCTGCAGAGTGGTAGGCTCCTATTTGGTGGTTAAGGTCAAACAGAAGTTGGAAGGTGCTCTGATTACCTAGTGCTGCTCTGACAGGAATATGCCACAAATGGGATGGCTTGAAGAAACAGGAGTTTATTCTCTTACCGTTTGGGAGGATAGAAGTCCGAGTTCAAAGTGCCAGGCTCTAGGGGCTGGGTTAAAGCCCCTCAACCTTGGGCTTCAGCTCTGCCTCTTGCTCATGGCCCACTGAAGCCAGAGGCATCTCTTCACTCAGCTGCTGGCTGCTGAGACTGACAAGCCCAAGGCTGACAAGTAAAAAGGCACAGTCCCAATGTTAGCAAACCACATGGCAGGCCATTAATTCAAGTCCATTGGAAGTCCCAAGGTTGGCAGAGCATGGCAGGCTGCTGAACAATGACACGGCTACATGTAGGGTTCAAGCATGCCATAAGCTAGAGACCATTCCCCAAGGCTTCTCCCTATATACTGGAAGCAGACCACATCCCTAAGGCAGCTACACAGCTGCTCACAGTAGATTCCACCATGGAGTTGATTACCAGTCTCATCATGGGGAATACTACATCCAGCTGCCCGGCCACTCAATCAGGCCCAGCCAAACTGACACACAAACTGAACTACCGCAGAAGGTCACTGCTCAGGCTGTTCAAAAGGGGATTCTGGCATCAAGTCCTTTCTGACTCCTCATAATCGTATGAGAGGATGATAACAGAGTAATCTGTTTTTCTCTGCTTTGGTTAATACAAGTGAGCACTTTGATCTAAAAAGATCCTGCCCCTTTTCTTCCCCATCCTTGAAAGTAAGTTCCATGGGGATGGAGGTAACTTGGATCTTTGAAATACATCAATGAATAAAACAGCTAGAACAGTCCCTGACACACACTAGACACTCAAATATTTGAAAGAAGAATGAATGAAACTCACCAAATGTTTTTAAACTTAATGGCACTTAATAGCGTTTAACTTCACAGAAAGTGTTTAAACTTTATGGTACTTTGCTTCAAGACTACCTACTGCAGTTAGTTGATTTGCTTAGTTATCAGTTGATTTACTTAGGGTTTATCAGAGCTGTTTTTAGATGTAATGAGTTACTTTGATGGCTTTCTGTCTTTAAAATGTGAGAAGATACCAATGTAGAACTTAGCAAATATATCTCTGAGAGTCTGAAGTTAGTTGAATTGGGTAGGTAGAAATTTATGAGCTAATGCTAGACTCCTTAAGAAAGACGTGGTCTTGTGGGCAGTAAGACAGGTAACTACGGGACCAAAAGTCTCATTTTAGCTAGGCTTCTAAACAGTGTAATTGGGGGCAAAGCACACATGGGGCTTACCTTCAGTTGCTTGATTTTTCTATTCACCTCCTAATGAATGTTCTGGATACTTGTGGACAGCAGTTTAACTGCTGATCCAGGATCTTGTCATACCCCAAATCTACCATTCTATCCTTCTCAACTAAAACCCACGGCCAGCTGAGCTCTTGAGCCTATTTAAAGTCTTGTTTCCTATTTTATGCTTCTACATTCAAGGCCGCCATTGTATCTTTTGCACATGGATAGTCCTAGGCTTGAGATGGGTTCAAAATACTTAAAGATGGTGGGAAGGCTGGCTTAACAGAAGAGCCAGCTTATTTATTATTTACAATAACTAGTAAAATAAACTGAACACAACATACGCCAGGGATGGGGAGAGGCAAGTGGCAAAAGATTGGAATTAACTTTTGTTACCACACGTGACTGTATGATAGCTGTCACTCCCTTACTCCCAATTAATGACTGTACCTGATAGGTCTTTTGTGATAGCATTGTCTTCAGATGGTGGTAGTAATAATAATAACAAAACCCTAATGTCTTTTGTGTCACTTTCTCTAATTTGTTTGAACTCTGAGGGGGTAAGAACTAGAGCCTACTTTGCATCAGATACTGGACTAGTCACTCAGACGTGTGTGGTCTCCCAATAGGGTGACTGCCTGTGGGATGGACAGTGACTTGCTTACTATCAGAGTCAAGAAGAAACTAGCAACTGTTAAACATCTTTTTCTTTAGATCTTATACAACATTCTCCACTGCTTTTATTTTATACATATGTATGCATTTATATACATATTTATAAATGTTACTGTGTAACTAAGCTCTGTCTTTTATACCTTCTCTGGGTAGGGCAGTAGACAAACGTTACAGTTCACAATCAGCTGTATCCAGAAGAGGAGCAGAACATGTGTGTCACCTTGTAAAGTAACCAGTACATTTGATCAAGCGGAACAACTCACACTCACAATTAAGTCATATGCTTTTCCTTTATTTTCAAAAGGCTCATTTTTCTCCATTTCTCTACTATCAAAGTCAAGAATTGCCCAATGGTACTGTCAAGGAGGCTCCAGCAACTTCTCCTGCTCCTCTGGAGGTCACAAGCTCAGGCTGTTCAAAAGGGGAACAGCCTCCTACCGGGGAAGGAGAGCAGAAGCCCAAACTCTGCAGGCTGGTGAAAGGCGAAAACGGCTATGGCTTTCACTTAAACGCAGTCTTGGATCTGCCAGGCTCATTCGTCAAAGAGGTATGATGATCTGGTTTCAATATCCACCTTACACAGCCAGGAGCAGGGAAGCCACAACTAGGAGTGTCATCTTTTCTCCCACCCTCTGATAGCTTGGTGAAAAGGTTACTTTGAGGGCCTCTAACCATATTTGGTCTCAGCTTGGGTTCAGGTTAATACCGTTCTAGTTCTGTACCTTTTAGTTAGCTACTAGTACATGCCAAGCTCATGTTTTGCTCACGTGAGCAATTTTGTATTCTAAACATTTGTTCTACCTAATTTTCTTTCTAGATATTTTTGAATCAAATAAACAGTGAGTTAACATGACTTTAGCTGACAGTCACAATCGACCATAATTTATAGGTCGATGGTACATAATTTAAGTATCACTGATGGAAGTGCTACTTGCCTCCTCTGCATTTGGCATGATGCCGCTACCCACCATAGGGATTGACAGAGCTAGAGAGATGTTCAAGTCGAGAGTGAAAAGGGGTGGTGGTGGGTGGTATAAAATCTAAAGCCTACAGCCCAGAAGACACACAACATAATATTTGACCACTATTTGTCACATCCCTCATTTGACTATGTAAATTAGCATTAGAGCACCTTTCTTCTGTATCTTGAAAGGAAAATAAGGATAAATTCTCAAACTTCCTCTCATCTACCCCCTGAAGGGATGCTAGTCTGCCATGCCCTTATCTGTGGGTGGAATTAACTGAGATGCTCTGTTCCCAGGTACAAAAGGGCAGCCCTGCCGACCTGGCGGGGCTGGAAGATGAAGATGTCATCATCGAAGTGAATGGGGTGAATGTACAGGACGAGCCCCATGAGAAGGTGGTGGACAGAATCCAGAGCAGTGGGAAGGACGTTATACTCTTAGTCTGTGGAAAGAAGGCTTATGATAACTTCCAGGCTAAGAAAACCCCTATCGTTTCTTCCATGGCTGACCCACTGGATGCTCCCCCTGATTCCAAAGAAGAAGCACTGGCAGAGTCAGAGCCTGACTCTCACACAGCAAGAGAACGAGTAAGCGGTGATCCGTTTGAGTGACTGGACTTACCAGAGAATGGTTAAGTCTCGAGTAGGGTGGTCTTGTGTCTTTTTTCCACAGATTTCCTAAAGTACTAAAAGTAGCAATGTAAAGATAACAATGTAATTGAGGTGTTGTGGACAGGAGTGTAATACAAGGGCAACACATTTCTTTTTATAGTATAGAGTCATGACAGTTACTATCTAGAATTGGTAAGTCAAAAAACAAGACATCAAAATTGTAACGGGTACCCACCAGAAGCAACTGAATCAGACTATGTAAGTACAAATTATGGTTTTGCTGTTTATTAGACTTGGGAAAATTCACTCTTTGTGCCTCAGTTTCTCTATCTATAAAACAGGCATAATTTATAGGGCTTTTATGATTAACATAATTATTTGGAATGGTACCTGGTTCACAGTAAACATGAAAATGAATGGCAGTATTGTTTAATTGGCAGGTATTAAAGTTTTAATATTAGGAAAAACTAAACATAATATATTTGGATTAGATAATTCTTTGGTAAGCTTCAGTTTTATATTTTTATCCAATTTCTCTTCATAGATGAAGTGCAAAAGTAAACCGACTTAACCAAGTTCATAAGAATTTATGGCAAAACCAGGTCTCTAAAAGTTCAGTGTTTTTTCAGTGCATTAACTATACTGATGGATGAAATAATACTTATTTTTATGAAGACATACACTAGCCATTGACCTAATATTTTGGATTGCTTAACAACGAAAATATTCTAGTTGTCTTTTAAAAATTCTGTAATATTTCTCTAGGAAATCAGTTATAGTATTATACTAATTTTAGAGAAAAACATATAGGCAGTATGATATTTGTTAATGTGTCAAACAGCAAGATGGAAACCAAGGCAAGTGTAGAGCTCGGGTCACGTGGCTCCAGTGAGTGCCTCTGCTCCACAGCGTGAGTCATACAGCACCAGAGCTGCTTATCTGTGTGTACACTCGACCATTTATAACTCCTTTATTTTCTTCTGCACAGGCCCACAGTACAGCCTCCCATTCTTCCAATTCTGAGGATACAGTGATGTGATGAGAACATGATGGTCCTGGCTGGTAGCTTTCTGGGTATTTAATAGGAATACATTCTCAAGGAAGGAGCTGCCACCCATTTCCTGTGTTAGAGAACTCCTGGAAACCAGCTCCTATGTGATTGTCTTCTGTTGTCATTTGTTTTAGGGATGACTATTACAGATGGTTTATTTATATTCAATGTAGAAAAAGCTAAGGCAGGAGCCAAATTTTTGTGATCTTTCAAGCTTCAATATAATTATTTCATGGTATGATGATACCTCTCACTGCTATAGGCTCCTTGAGCACCAGAGATGATTCATAAATCTGTGTATGTGAGAGTGACTAATTAGTCTCTGAGCAGACAAACCTATGAAATTATCCTTTGGTAAGAATACTGTGGTTGCTAGAATAAATATCAGTAAAATGCCTTTTGCCTATATATGGACCTTCTGTTAGCTGATATGACCTTAACAGTGCTTTTGTTTTTGGTAAACCTTTAATACTTTAACTTTCATTTGTTCTAATGCGTTTAGAAACCCAAAACAATAAAATACAGAATGAAACCTTTGTAGTAAAAGGAGACTTCCCAGCAATAAAGTCGAAGATTTTCTTAATTTGCATTACTGAGCATTCTACAAATTTTCTAACATCTTCCTTTTACAGATGAAGAAAATGAGTCCCAGGGTAGCAACGTGACTTGTCGTAGTTAACACTTCCTTAGTTTTACTCCACAGCATGAGGGGAAGATGGAAAGAAGAAAACAAAGCATTATCACTGAGTTGGGAGTGTAGGATATTCAATCTTGAATAACACTTAAAAGGAAATCAAGAAAAATGACGTATTTGTCTCTTTTGGCAGGCTCTTTCAGTTGCACAGCACTCCTGCTCCAGAAAAGGACAGACAACCTCTGGTTACTGTTATGGTGCAGGGAGTGGGGAGAACAGGAGTAGCATGCCAACTCACGTTAGATTATGTAAACATTGCATTTACTGTGCTGTGCTTCACAGAAATGAACTTAATCTGAAAAGGTCCAAAGTGTTACAATCTCTGATTTTAATAACAGTCAATCTCAGGGGAAAGCCATGACCATCTCCATTTGAACTTTGACGTAAACAAATACTTTATGCATGGTGCAGTTACTTAGACTTCTCCTATCCCAGAGTTCCAGTGTATACATATATTTTTTTCCTCCTCAGTTCTTAGCTCTTTTTATGCCCCCATTCCCTCTACTGCACCAGCCTCAAACTTACACAGGTTGTTCGCTCTTTCATATTTGAGGTGATCCAACACATGATCACAGTATCATGAGGAGGAAGGCACAGGCTAGAGGTACAGTATGACACCACAGTCATTTTCTTTTTTTAAATTAGATCCTGGTCCCCCTCCCTCTTCCTTCTCTTATATCCAAATTCTGACACCATTCGCTTCTGGCAGTCTGTGATAGGTATGAGTTCAAGGTGCCATATGCTTCTCTGGTGCCTGTTTGTGAGCCAAATAGAGGAAAAGGATGCTGGAGAGAGCGCTGACCAGGAAGATGACATCAAACCAACGGTGATAGAAGTTGAACTGAAGTTCTCCAAGAACTTCAGTGATTATGGTGCGGTATTCTAGAGGCATGCTCATTCGGATCAGCAGTACAGAGGAGACAAAGTACATTCCCTGTAAGTCAAACCCAGAAGTCATTTTGTAATGAGGGATAGGTCAAAGGAAATCATTAAAAAGAATTTATAACACATCTCTGTATCTTATAGCTATAAACATAAAGCTAGTTCAAACTTACCATTATCTGTGCTAACAGCAGGACAATGACATTGGAAGACTTACTGCTGGAAATGGCATAGAAGAACTGTCAAGAAAGGAAGAGAAATCTATGCAGTACTGCTGGACTCCTGTGTCATGAACAATAAGTAACATGGCTAACATTTACTTGAAAATGTCTCTTCCATGCCACAATGTGTAGAACAACTATATGTGATAAAGGCTATAAAGAAGAGACCTAAATGGAATACACTTATTTCCCCGTGAGGTGGTTGGTGGTTTTAAGCATTATGCTGGAACATGTTAAACGATTCCTATTAAACTTTCAGGAACAATGATTTGAGTTAGCATATGACTTTAACGTCACTACTATAAATATTAAAATAGATGATTCTAGGCCACTCTAAACCCTTGTTACCAGCTCCTGAGGACTTTCCAAAATTGTGGTAAATGCCCGGAGGACCCTTTCCCTCTTAATCTTCTCTTCATTCAACTAGCTCTTGGATTTTGAAATCTCTACCTCTTCTACCAGAAAGGCCTTCGCTTTCTACCTCCATGCAGCAGGTCTGTGTTGATCAGAAAGCAGCTGAACATTCTGTCCCCCTGCTTCCCTATCCTCTCTACAAATGACTCGGTTACTCTTCTAATCTCACTATCTTCTCTCATTCATTCCAAAGTTCTGCTGGGTACCTACAGTGCCTAGTTCAATTCTAAATGCTGGTAATGTATCAGTGAACAAAACAGACACTGATCTCGTCCATTACCTTTTGTGATACTTATTTATAATTGGTACATGTAAATACATTTAACATTTTAAAAATTTTGTTGTGTGTCTTAGATATTTTCTAAGACTTCAGAAAGCAGGAATCTTAAGTAAAATTCTCTCATGGCATCCTCTGTAATGATACCTTTTGACATTGTGATACACTATACCTTGGTAAGAGTGATCAGCAGTCCTCTGATGGATGTGACAATGATTATTCCAACCAGAATGAAGGAAATGTGTTGGGACCAAAACTTCACCTGCCACCATAATAGGAAGAAAAATATCTGTTAAAACTGTTTAGAGAGACATGAAGGCTAACATACATTCTGATCACTTACATAACTGGGAACAGGAACTTCAATGTTGGTAGCTATTGAGTCAACCCCTAGGTGGTTTTTTTTTTTTTTTTTTTTAAGGGACAGAGGAAAGCAAGTGCTGGCTAAAACACCTATAAGAAGACTGCAGTGGATATGACATTTTTCTCCCCATATTCAACCAGTGTTTACTGAGAGCCTAGTATGTGCCACACACTTACATGTGCTCTGTCGCATGTAATCATCATAACCTTGTTCAGGGAGTATCGTTAGTGCCATTTTAACAAATGAAGTTCAGATAAGTGCAGAAGCAAGGAATTCAGGTTGGTTTGATTTCAAGTCCAGAACTTTTTCCACTGCAGCACACTGCCCAACCACTGCCCCACCCACAGGTCCTGAGCTGCCTTCTGGACTCCTGTCTGACTGGATACAACAGGTGCAGCCACCCAGGAAGGAAAGGAGTAGGGGAGGAGCCCTGTAGGTGACCTGTGCCCAGGCCCTTCCACCAAGCAGTGGTGGGGCTCTCCCTGAGGGGTAGAGGGATCCAACCAGGGCTTTCTCTAATGCTACCTTCTCAGTACCTGGCTGGGGTGGCATCATGGAACAATGCCATCTTCAAAGTCTCCAATGTCTTGGGGCTGCCAGTGAGAGTTGAGGTAGATGTGGGGTGAGTGAGGGAGTTGTTCTCGGCTCAGTTGTAGCTGCTCTTTGGGATCACTCAGCCCTAGCTGTTTCTAAAATGCCTACTTTCAGGGCCTAAAAGTGTAGGGCTAATGAGCTGGGAGCAGGACTGGCTGCTCTGGGTTTGGCCAGTGGAGAACCTGGTCCCAGGCTCCACCATCCTGCCCAGCTTCTGGGCAATATTAGCAACACTGTCATCAAGGACAGATGCGGCACCTGAGGTGTACAGGGCAAAAGCTGCAGTGCAGAAGAGCTGGCCCCTGGACACCTGGCCTCTGCTGGCCCTGCCAGCCAGGAAGCTGTAACGTCCTCGGAGTGTGCTTTTTTGACCCCTCACTCCTCCACCTCCTCTATTCTCCTTATGACCAGAAGTTTGCCATCTAGAGCTTGATCTTCCTGCCTATGGCTGCGCCCCTCCTCTATCCCTGGTCAAGATCTTTCTGGAGACCTGCAAGTCTAGGAAGAAACCTGAGATGATGGACTGAGCAGGGCAGCATCTCAGCAGGGCCCTTTCCTTTCAGGCCAGGATGGGAGGTGTTAGACTGAGAGGTGCGTAAAACGGTGCCTGCTGGGGATGACTTGTCCCCAGCCACCTCTTCTGCTGTTTCAGGAACCAAAGTACAATGCTCCAAGATATGTTCATCTTCCCTTCCCACGCCCCCAATTCAGGTCTCCCTGGATCCCCCTCCTCACACTCCCAGGAGCCTCAAAGGGTGGCATCATCTGGGCCTCGTTTGGCTTGAACTGGAAGGTCCCTGACTACCTCTAGCAGGGGCAGTGTGGATTTCTATTCTGTTTTCAACACAGCATACTCCTAGTTACTGCGAATGCAGCAAGTATCTTAATTAGCAGACTTAATGAAGTCTTAAGGACAGAAGACAAGCACAGTGAAGTGATGAAAACACCAATAAATCAGAAGAAACATGAGTTAATGATATAGCTTCAATGTGCTAGGGGAAAAGCAGGAATTAAAAGGAAACTAATAACTTGATAACTTTAATATCTGTGAATGATGATAGTCCTCTACCCAAAATTTCAAGAAATTTTTGTTTATGATAAAGGAATATATAAATGTTCTCAGTTCTAGGAAATAGCTGAACATCATTTGAACTGCATGATGATTTTTATTCCTGCTACATTACTTTAGGAGCTCTGGTAGCATAGTGCCTAAGACACTTGACTGCTTATCAGAAGGCTGGTGGTTCAAACCCACCAGCCAGTCCTCAGAAGGAAGGTTGGGCAATCTACTTCCGTAGGGATACTGCCTTGGAAACCCAAGGAGGGGTCGCTATGAGTTGGGGCCGACTAGATGGCAAATAACAACAACAACAACAACAACATTACTTTGAGAGAAGCAGCTTTGGGTCCCTGTGCTCAATTCAGGCCTGAAAATTGTCAGGGGGGAATCTGCTATTAGTAATATGCAGAATTAAAAAGTATGGAATAGATATATGAATTATGAATGAAATATACACAGAGAAACTAAACAATCTCAAATAGCACATACGTAGCAATGGTGAGGTATGCTTAACAGTAGAATTTATTTACCACTTGAAAGAAAGATACTATGCTCCTTTATATACAGAAAGGATACACTATTGATCTACCGTCAAAATATGTGTACTCTGAGCTGTTTCTCAAGGACTGGAGCTAAATTTGATCTAGTTTATTTTGTTTTATTCAGTCACCATTGGGACCAAGAGCATGTCCTGCTGAGATGGATGGCTGGGGGTGTATGGCTCAGATCACAGCACAGCTAAATGGCCCATGGAACTAAGAACATAATGTTGGTTTTATTAGTAAAGTGTTAATCAACCAAAATCATTGGTCATACATGTATCTGAAAAACATACTATCCTATGAAGAAAATTATCAAACTTACTAGGACAAGGGTATATGTAATGACAGGTATTTATAAAACAGAAGATCATGTTTTATGAAAAAATATGGATTTAAAAAACAAAACTTTGTGCATAGGTGACAGTTACCACCTTTAAATCAAAGTTCACATTTCATTACTACCTAATCCATAAAGATTATTTTTTACAGCAGACACTATTTCAGTTCTAACATGAAACATTAATTAGTAGTTAATTCTCTACCAGAGGAATCAAAGGTTAGTGGTGTGTTTGAAGCTCTCATTGAGCGCCACATCATAGACGGATCAGGGCAGTTGCCGGGAAGGAGGTTAGGAAGTGGAGGCTGGCTGTAGAGGAGCAGAGGAGGAGCTGTAGAAATAATCAGCATCTGTGACAGTAAGGACCAGTCATTACTCACGCTTATCCAGTAAGAGAGAGAATCCTGGCCCTTTTAAGTTGTCATGTCAATATGTCAAAACATACAAAGAGTGGGAAGAACAAAAGCAGAACCAAGTACCTAAAGTAAAGGACTTAGAATCTTCACAATTGTAATTGATAGCAGATAAAAACATAATGAAAGATAACAAACCAGGATCTTGATAAAGTTCTTACATCAAATTGGATTCCCAGATAATTCACAGTGATCTCAATGCCCCTTGTAACAGGATCAGTTTTTCCAACACGATCAAAAACGATATTGATGGTTGCCTGCACAGACACAAATCTTCGCATTAGAGCAACTTAATCATCATCCACTATTTTGAAAAAATGATTGAAAATAATGAATTAAGCATCAAAATACATTTTATAGGGGAAAGTGTCTAAAAATGCAATTCTACTACTCTCAATCCAAATCATATATGGAAAATCTACTTTGGCTATTCATACACAAGCAAAGTCCCTATCTTTTCTAAAGAGTCAAGGGAAATAAACCTATGACTCACACACCTTAATTTTTCAGGAGCCAGAAAGACAGCATTCTGGCAGATGAAGGCAGAGTAAGAGAAACAAGGAATTCTAGGGTCCTATGAAGTCTATAAACTCACTCCTGTCGAGTTGGATCTGACTCATAGTGACCCTTTCTTGGGTTGCAGTGGTTAGCAGCTGAATGCTTTCCAAGGTTGGTAGTTCAAACTTACCAGCCACTCTGGGGGGAAACGATATGTTGGTTGGTCCTGTAAAAATTTACAGCCTTGGAAACCCTGTGGGGCAGTTCTACTCTGTCCTATAGAGTCGTTATGAATCAGAATCAACCCAATGGCAGTGGGTTTGGTTTTATATGCAAAAAACTGAACTTGGAGAACAGAGATACCATAATAAAAATTAAGATGAATTACAGACTAAACTGTGAAACCTAAAAGTGTAAAATTTCTATAAAAGAATGTATATATAAAAAAAATCTTTGTGACCTTGGTTAGGCAAGGATTTCTTAGCTTTGACAACAAAAGCATAATGTATAAAGGAAAAAAAGGACAAATTGGACTTTATCAAAATTAAGGACTTCTGTTCTTTGAAAGATACTGCTAAGAAAATGAAAAGCCAAGCCACTGACTGGAAGAAAATACCTGCAAATCATATATTTGATAAGGGATTTCTTGAATATATAAAAAACTCAAAACCCAATAAAAAGAAAACAACGTGCTACAAGATATGAATAGATACTTCACCAAAGAAACAGAAGTGGCAAATAAGCACATGAAAAAATGCTCAACATCATCAGGGAAATGCAAATTTAAAGTCACAATTCAATACCACCTATTAGAATGTCTAAGATATAAAAAAGAGTGACCATACAAATGTTGTTGAGGAAGTAGGGAAATGGAAACCCTCATAAACTGCTGGTGAGAGCGTAAAATGGTATAGTCTCTTTGGAAAAGAGTTTGGCTGTTTCTTCAGAAGTTAAACATGCATCTACCATATGACCCAGACATTCCACTCCTAAGTGTACACAAATGTTCACAGCAGCTTTGTTTGTAATATCCCTAAACTGGAAACAACCCAATTGTCCATCAACAGGTGAATAGATAAACACATTGTGATATATCTATACAATGGACTACTACTACTCAACAATAAAAGAATAAACTATTGATACAAACAATAACATGGATGAAACTCAAAATAATTATGCTTAGCAAAAGAAGCCAAACAGAAAAAGAGCACATTTTGTATGACTGACTCCATTCATATAAAATTCTGGCAATTACCAACAAATGTACAGTGATAGAAAGCGTATTGGTGGTTGCCTGGGAACGGAGGGTAAAAGAGAGGCATTACCAAAGGGCATAAGGAAATATTTGGAAGTGATGGATAGGTTCACTACTTGATTGTGGTGATGGTTGTTGCATAGGCATATACATGTGTGAAAACCTATCAAACTGGACATTTTAAATATGTGCAGCTTGTTGCAGGTCAGTTACACCTCAGTGAAACTTTTAACAAAATGATACATTCCCCTAAAGACTGAACTTCAGGAAAAACCTTTAGTAGCTTGGCTGACTGAACTTAATTAACTATTTTTATTCATCCTCTCCCACTGAATGAACCAAGATTTAAAAATCATCTGAGTGGATATTGCTACCAATTTACTATAACATTAGATTCATTAAAGCCAAAATTTCTCATTGATATAAACTGATCAAAATCAACTAGCAAGCTGACAAAGCTCCTTTCCTGTGCAAACACAGCCCTAATAGAAAAGTCAACCAAACCAGAAAGTCAAACCACCCTTTTCTAGAATCACATTGAAATCCACTGATACATGTGGATAAGTCAGAAGACAAATAATGTACATAAAATGCACACAAAGAATTAAACATTAAGCAAGAGTCACAAAAGAGTAACAGCTACACACACAGAAAATGAATTTATCTAAGGAATACAGTTTAGAATTTATTTTGGACTTAACTTTTAGATATACAGGTAATTAAAAAGGAAGAGCAGTTTCTGTTCTGAGCTGCTAGTAAGAGTTGAGATTACATACAGTCACGTACTCATGGGCAATATGGAAAGCAGCGTATAAAGTAAACTTTTACATTAATTTCATAGATTTCATAAACTAACACCTTATTAATGATTTCTAACAGAAGGAAAATGTAACCTCCTCTTCTAGGTCGTCTAAAAAGAAGAGGGAAAAAGAGTGAGGCTCAAAGACATGAAAGACACACAGCCTGTTGACTCAATCTGATTTGGAATTTAGTTCAATATATCAATAAACTCACTATCTCTGGCACAACCAGGAAAAATCATCTAAAGCCTGACAGTCAAAAAATTACACTTACCATGAAAATTTTCCAAACACAGTAAATAGAGAAAAAGTAACCCAGAAAATTAAAGTATTTTCCCTTGAAAGTTTTGGAGTATTCTATTCTCTCCTGAAGGAAAAGAAACACAAAACATAGTTGATCTCAGCAAAAGGTGAATTTATACTCATTGCAAGTATTTTTGTTTCTATCAGTCAATTTTCAGGCTGGTATCTTGAGTCAAAAAGACCACACATGCTAATAATATTAAAATAATGGTAAAAAATTATTAAAACAGTAGTAGTAGTGGTCAACATTTATTCAAGGATTACCTTTTATCCCAGAGACTAGGATAAAAACCTTTTGTGTATTAACTACTTTAATCCTCAAAATAAATCTTATGAAATGTTTTATTATCTTAATTTTACAGATGAGAAAACTGAGGCTTAGAGAGGTTAAATAATTTGCCCAATGTCACACAGCTGGTAAGGAGGGAGATTCAGACCCACATCTATCTGACTCCAAAACTTATTCTGTTAATCTATTCTATACGGCCATGTGTGTGAAGTTATCCTCAAAAAAGATTAAAATAGTTTGCAACCTTTGTTGTTGTTGTTGTTATGTGCCGTTGAGTCAGCCCTGACTCATAGCGACCCCTCCTTGGGTTTCCGAGGCAGTATCACTACGGGAGTAGGATTGCCCAACCTTCCTTCCGAGGAGTGGCTGGTGGGTTTGAACCACCAGCCTTCTGGTTAGCAGTCAAGTGCCTTAGCCACTATGCTACCAGAGCTCCCTTTGCAACCTTAGCAAATATATTTGCATATTTAAAATGTATTGCATTTTAGGTATAAATATGAGAGTTATTTCCCTCAGTCAGGTTATCTCTTGATCTGGATCCTTTAAAACAGGGCTAGACCACAGCAGGTAGGTGTCTATTGCTCTTATAATATTACTAATTTGTTTGAGGAGCTACCACCTTTACCCTGGGTGGGTAGGAAGTGGTGTATGCCACATTTCCAGATGCTGAAATGCCTCAACTCTCAATTTCTATTATTAAGGATGTTTCATTAAAGATTTTGCTAGTAGTTGAGGCAATGTCATGAAATGTGCAGACTCCTCATCCCTAATGCTTCCTGGCTGATACTGAAGCTATGAGGTGTCTCTTGAATTGCTTGCACATCAGGAGGACATTAAAAAGCCATTTAGTTTTGTTCTCTCTCAACCATGTTGGTAAAAACCACACTTGAGTTTCCTTGCTCTGTACCTTGGTAGCATATAGATCAGCTGTTTCCAGAAAGAGCTGCCTGCTTAGTTCTTCCAAAGCATCCACTTCCTGTTGAATAAGAGTAAGATCTGGCACAAAATGGGCATCAAGGTTTAAATCACATAAAAGTTTCAAGAAGTAGCAATGAAGAAAGCATATGCTTTTGGTTTCTCTTATAGTGGATTCCAGAACTGCCTACATTTTTAATTTCCTGTTTCACAGCCAGCAGTGGTACTTCAGAGCAATCTTCCCAACCTCCCAGTGCAGGTGTGTAAAAGTGTCTCAACCAAGAGCATCACCACCAAACACCGACCACTCGATTTCTCACCAGAACAAGTGGCTCAGACAGGTGGGTGTCTCTGTTTGTATTTTGCTTTTATATCTAGTTAGATTAAGTCAGATACAATCTAAAATCTAAAAAAACAGTTACATAGTAATAATAACACCTATAATTTAGCATAGTTTTTTCCTATATTGTGTGAATAAACACAGTGTTAGGAAAGGAATCTAACATTTATTGAGTCCTGACATGGTCTGGGCTTTATAGATATTACCTTCTTTATTCTTTAATTCTTTATAGGCATTATCTTCTTTAATTCTCACAACAATTCCATGAGATAGGTGTTATTATCCATTTTGCAGGTAAGGAAAGTGAAACTCAGAGAGTTACATCATTTGCTTAAAGTCACACAGGTAGGTGTGGATGCAAAGTTAGATCTGCCTTACTCCAAGGCCTTCTCTTTCCATTACGCTATGCTACTTTCTAAAAACCCAGTGAGGAAGTATTATTATCATCCCCATTTAGGAAACAGAAAGGTAAAATAATTCTGATACTACTGTTGACTTACCTTTATTAAAATAGCCTAAACTTAAACTTTTGCCTTTTATAGATTTAATAAAATGCTAATAAATCCAATTTAATAAAAATAGTAAAGGTGGTACCTTCTAAAATAGAAGAACTGATTTTAATTCAAATCTTCCCTCTTCTCTCTGACTTTCCCCACCATTACCCAAATCATCAACTGCCTTCAGTTCCTTCCTCAGCTGTGGCTGTTACTGGCATGTTCCAGGCCACCTGGAGTATGGCTGGTTTCCTGGTTATGTAGCTGTCTTTCCCATGATTAGATGGTGAGCTGAGCTCCTGGTGGAGAGAGGCTATACTCTGTCGATCATTTTATTCCTCAGCACCCTGCCTGGAATCAGGAGACTTGAAATAAATGTTTCTCAATTAAATGAATCTAAATTAGTCCTTCTTCCTCAGCCATATCCATCCTGCTTTTCCCTGGTCTTATTCGTATCTGCATTTGACAACAGAAGGTACAGGTCATAATGCATAACAAGAATATATTCTTCTCCTCCAATCAAGCAAAAGGAAATTTGTATTTCTAGGCTGGGAAACAAGCAGGAGTATGTTATCCTGTGCTTAATCTCCCAAGGTTTTAATCTATAGCCTGGCTGTCACAAAGAATTTGGTCACCCAATTTGGGAATTAGTTTAACACTTTAACCACCTGGGCCAAAAATAATCCATAAACCCAATCTCCTTGAGTCTTTAAACCAAAAAGTCACTGGAGAAGCAGAGCTGATTGTTTAGAAAAGGGCCCTTACCATCCCATTTACAAATCCACACATCATCCACTTTAGGGAGCTAATGTGTTTTGTGTTTTTTTCAGAGTTGGGAAATTTAATAGTGTAGTGGAAAGAACTATGAAGAGGAGACCATAGCTCTGGTCCTAGTGTTGCCACAAACTACTGTGTGACCTAACCTCTCTGGGTCTATTTTCTCATCTGTAAAACAGAAAGACTGACTTTTTAGCAACCTTCCAGCTCAAAGACAATGCTTTTATGATCTTATGTGGGTTTTGGAAAGATGATTCTGTACACATTGCATTTTCTGAGACTAGCCCTAGCCAGCTTGGATTCTGATGTAGTCAGGTACCTTAAAAGAGACTATCCCAATACTACTTCTTTTTCTTCTGCCCTTGGCCCAGAGTTGAGAAAAAGAATAATCAGGCAGAAGGATAAAGGATACTTTCACTTCCTGGAGCTGAAGTGGCAACACTCTTTATCATTCCCCAGAATCCTGATGGTTTGTTATGCACTTCCCCTTTCTGGAACATATTTCTTCGTGCCATTGCCATCCTGGAATGAAAAAAGAAAAAAAAGTAAAACCTCAGCAAGGAAACATGGGACCCTCACAGGCCAGTCTAATCCATTCCCAGTGTCACAAGTTGAGCTGTTCAGGGAAGGATGTTGATTCCAGAGTCCCATTTTTCCACAACTGACAACTGAAGGGAAACTACCCACTCCCAGAAGCAATCTGGCTTAGGTGAAGGAACATGGGATTTGAATAATAAATGTGAAGACTGGCTCTGCCATTTAGAAGCCGTGAGACTTCACTTTTATTATTTTATTGTTTTACTTCAGAGTTTTCATTTCCTCATCTCTGGATGGTTGTGCAGATCAATGAAATAATGTATAAGAACTTGTGATGTCAATTACAAAGTGTTATACATACGTTAGCTGTCTCAGTCTTCTTATGCTGCTATAACAGAAATACCACAGTGGATGTCTTAACAAACAGGAATTTATTCTCTCACAGTTTAGGAGCTAGAAGTCCAAATTCAGAGTGCTGGTTTTCTCCACCTTGGGCTTCAGCTCTGCCTCTTATTCCTGGCCTACTGGAGCTAGAAGTGTCTTGTAACTCAGGTAGCTGCTGGATGCTGAGGCGATGAACCAAAGGTCTCCAAGTAAAATGGCACAATTCCAAGTTTGCTAGGCAACATGGGAGGCCACTGGTTCAAGTCCAGGACTTGGTCAAATGCAGGATCCAGATGTGCCAAACTACTAGAGAACTTCCTCAAAGCTTCCCCATATATACTTGAAGCAGGTCACACACTGAAGGCAACTACTTAGCATCTCACAGCAAATTCCACCATGGAGGATTACAGTCTCATCATTGGGAGTAACTACACCCAGCTGCCCAGTCACTCAAAACCATGGCCCAGCCAAGTGGATACACAATCTTAACTACATTAGTATTTAGTAAAATTATCATTTGAGGACAGAATAAAACAATAGCTACCACACAAAAAGATGGAAACAACCTAGGTGCCCACAAACAGAAGAATGGATAACCAAACTATGGTACATACACACAATGGAATACTTGTTGTTATGTGCTCTCAAGTTGGACCCAACTCATAGCGACCCCTCTTTGGTTTTCTGAGGCAGTATCACTGCGGAAGTAGATAGCCCAACCTTCCTTCTGGGGAGTGGCTGGTGGGTTTGAACCACCAGCCTTCTGGTTAGCAGTCAAGTACCTTAGGCACTCCGCTACAAGAGCTCCCAATGGAATACTATGCAACCCTAAAGAATAATACAGAATCTGCAAAACACTGTATAACATGGATGAACTTGGAGGACATTATGCTGAGTGAAATAAGTTAAACACAGAAGGACAAATATTTTATTAGTCCATTATTGTAAAACGTCAAGGAAAGGTTTATATATGGAAGGAAATTCTCTTTTGATTACTAGGGGTGGGAAGGGAGGGGAGGGAATACTGCTGGATAGGTAGAGACAAGTATTGATATGGGTGAAGACAAGGGCAACACACCAACTGTGATTAATCAACATGGTGTCATTGAGGAAGAGGAAGAGGAAGAGGAAGACAGAGAGAGATGCATGGGAGGTATAGACAACAAAGATGAACCCTTTTGTACATACAGTATTGTGTTGTCAGTGATGACAAACATTGATCTATGGGTGGCTAGAGGGGTGGACAGGCTGAAAATATCTATTAGATATGTCTATGCAGGGGGGAGTGTGCCCATGACCATGTATAGGGTTGGCAGACAGTGTTTCTACAAGTGTGTTTGTATGTTCTGTAAGAATTTCCAGGTATATAGTAGAGCTGTGGAAGGAAGACTGGGCAATCTACTTCCGTAGTGATACTGCCTCGGCAGCCCAAGGAGGGGTCGCTATGAGTCGGGTCCGACTCGACGGCACATAACAACAACAACAACATAGTAGAGCTGACAGGGGACAAGGTTGTAGTCACTTCTTGGCCACAGCCAGCCACCCAGAGGGAGCAAGTAATTGGACCTGTGGGCCTGGGACCATGGTTGCAGGGGACATCAAGCTTAATTAGCATAACATACTACACAAAACAATTTTCCAAATCCTACTTTGGCAAGTAGTGACTGGGATCTGAAAAGCTTGCAAGTGGCCATCTACATGTAACGATGGGTCTCTTCTCATCCAGAGCAAAGAAGTATGAAGAAAACCAAAGATTCATGGAAACAATTAGTCCCAGGGACTGGTACACCATGTGATCCTCAGCCAATATGACTATGAGACCAGAAGAAGCACTGGCCACCACTCAGAGGGGGATCTATGTCGGAGATCCTGGATAGAGTAGGAGAACAATGTGGAATAAAACTCAAAATCATAAAAAAAAAAAAAAAGGGGGGGGCAGGCAGAAGGATAAAGGATACTTTCACTTCCTGGAGCTGAAGTGGCAACACTCTTTATCATTCCCCAGAATCCTGATGGTTTGTTATGCCTGCCTCCCCCCACCATTTTTTTTTTTTTTTTTTTTATGATTTTGAGTCTGATAGAGCCTGGTGGAACCCTAAGACTATGGCCCCTAGCTACCCTTCAGGTCTGGAACTGAATCCACTCCTATGGCTTCCAGCCAAACAAGACAGGCATAAGAGCTGAACATTTACATTAGGTAGACACACTCCTTGGAGAGATCAATTATGGGAGAATAGAAGGGCTGTGAATGCACAGGGAGACAGCTGGGGGGGCACGAGTGCATAGGACGGAAGGATACAGGGAAGAGGTGGCTATGGGGAGGAAGTGGGAGGAGTGCTGTTTCATTGTAGGAGATTATAATCAACTTCACGAGACAAAGTATATGTGAACTGCCGTATGGAAGATGAGTTTGCTGTGTAAACTTTCACTCAAATCCCAATAAAATTAAGAGAGAGAGAGAGAGAGAGAGAGAGAAACAATAGTTACAACTAGTCAAATTAATAGGTCTATAGTAGGAACTCAGTTCCTTCTTTCTCTTTCAAAAGCAAACAAAAAATCTGTCCTCTTTTAAAGTATCAGTCTTCAAATCCCCTCATGCACTGTGATCTGTCCCACTGCTACATAAATCAACAGGAAACTTATTACTGGTCCCTCTTGTCCTCTCAGTCTGTGGAGGACCCACTGCCACAGTGTAGCTGTAGCATGTTCTAGCCTACCACACAGGTATTAAGAACAGGGTCCTTGTGAGGGAAGTAAGATTAGTAATGATTACCTGAAGCGTATAATGGGGCATTACAAGATCTATGGGTCTAAAATAAACCAAGATGGGTCTAATGAAATAGGGTAGCAGGACTAAAAAAAATTTAATCTGTGCCTATTATTTTAACTTTAAAATCTGAAAAGGTGTACATCAAGGGTGTATCTTTTCACCATACTTATTCAATCTGTACACTGAGTATATAATCCAAGAAGCTGGACTATATGAAGAAGAACGTGGCCTCAGGATTGGAGGAAGACTCAACAACAACCTGCGATATCCAGATGACACCACCTTGCTTGCTGAAAGTGAAGAAGACTTGAAGCACTTATTGATGAAGATCAAAGAGTATAGCCTTCAGTATGGATTACATCTCAACATAAAACAAAAATCCTCACAACTGGACCAATAAGCAACATCATGATAAACAGAAAATATCGAAGTTGTTAGGGATTTCACTTTAACTTGGATCCATAATCAACACCCATAGAAGCAGCAGCAAAGAAATCAAATAATGTATTGCATTGGGCAGATCTGCTGCAACCTCTTTAAAATGTTAAAAAGCAAAGATGTCACCTTGAGGACTAAGGTGCACCTGACCCAAGCCATGCTATTTTCAATTACCTCGTACACATGTGAAAGCTGGACAATGACTAAGGAAGACTGAAAAAGAATCGATGACTTTCAATTATGGTGTTGGCAAGAGTACTGAATATACCATGGATGTCCAGAAGAATGAACAAATTTGTCTACGAAGTATAGCCCAAATGCTCCTTAGAAGTAAGAATGGTGAGACTTTGTGTCACATACTCTGGACATGTCATCAGAAGGGAACAGGGCCTGAAGAACATGGTTGGTAAAGTAGAGGGTAAGCAAAAAAAAGGAGCACCCTCAAAGAAAAGAAGTGACACAGTGGCTGCAACGACAGGCTCAAACATGGCAACATTTGTGAGAAGGGCGCAGGACTGAGTAGTGTTTCATTCTGTTGTATACAGGGTCACTATGAGTCGGAACTGACTTGATGGCACATAACAACAATAACAATCATTTCCAGTCCCTTTGAGATCTATTAAGGTGAGTACTTTTGGGTGACAAGAGAGAAGTGATGAGGAGGAAGCAGCTGCATTTATGGCTGGGCGATATAAATGGTACAAATGGTACCAAATACTAACTGGTATTTCTGCAGGGTAAATTCTTTAAACCACTGGTTAAAATGATTTTAACAAGAAAGAATGTTAGGAGTGTCAGTCATGTAGACTTAACTGTTTCCTTCTTAAAATGATCTTTGCCTGGATACTGAGTGAATGGAACATAGCTCCAAGTTTTAGCCCTTTCTGTGTTCTTCTCTATGCATTCAAGGTAGCTCAGCATGTTGGTGAGATGTAATAAACAATTAAGAGGCTTAGACCTATGGAGATTTTGACTTGCAAGACTCAGTCACCCTTAGTTTCCTATTTTCACAGTTAAGAAAGCTGGAACAAGGTATATGAAGAAAAAGGTTCTATCCTACTCACTTAATGGTTCATTTCCGTTCACAATGCTAGATTATAGAAGAGGCATTTGGGAGAGAGGGAGTAGAGAAGCCCATTTTTGATTGTCTTTAGATTCAATGTCTACAATGCGGCTGTGGAGTGGAACTGGTTGAATACGTAACAATGTAGTATGGCACTGTACCATGCATAGCCCCAGAACAGGCGGAAATGTACACTAGCTAGTAAAAGTGAAAGTTGGCTGCACACAGACAAGAGTGGCATTTTTTTTTAAAGAATTCACTTAAAATTTTTTTAAAAAATAATTTAATCCTAAACCAATTTTGTTCTTAAAGAGTGAGCTGCAGGTGTAA